ATTTCTAAATAGCAATTATCTATATACATATATGATGTATAATAGTTGAAATGTGGCTATTTTACAAAGTGCTAGTCTAACACAGCCAAGACAGGTCACTTTTTAAGGACTAAAGGTCAGTTTTATATTATTGGATAAGATAACGTGCACGTACACCTTATCATTGTAACTTCTGTATTGTTAGCTAGGCATGGCTGAAAGGTCAATATATAAAAATAATAAATATATATAAATGTATAATCTTATGAGATTTAAGCTATTTAAGTCTGAATATTTATGTTTTCGTGTTATGATTTGTGGTCATTCTAGAATGAAAGAGGCATAATTTGTTTAACGTGGTTACAAGATCGATCAAACCCGTAGAGAGATCCGTTACTGAAAACACAAAATATATAAAGTTTTTTTTTCTTAAGAAACTTGAGAACTATATGGATATTATATAGATTTTGCCTGTGAAATTTGAAAATTTTGTGATGCACAAAAGAATTTTTAATATTAAAAATGAAAATTACTTTGCATGTTGGATAGGCAACATGCAAAAAGAAAAGAAAAAGCATGAGAAAAACATTGCTTTACAAACCTTAAGACTTGATAAAAAAAATTTTGATATTTTGCATTTGAAAGCATTGTAATGTTTTCTGATAATTTGCCAAATTTTGTTGACATACGCTTACTAATTTAAAAGTTAGCCTAAAAAATATAACAAGCACAAAATGGTTACAAGGTTGGTCCCAGGGACTGAGTCCGTGCTGAATGAGGTAACTCTTAAGAATAGATTTATTAATTTGATATTCAAAATAGCTTTTAAGAACCACATTGCAATTTTGGAACTTGTCTGACAGTGAATCTAACAAAGAGCTTATCAATTTCTAATTCATTGCAGAAATGAGTCAGAATAATGGAAAAATTGTTTTTATTTAATGTGAACTGCTTAGACAACTTAGTTTTGTCTTAAAAGTACAAGATTTGGTTTAAAATGTAGTTTATACATAGCTGCTCTCTGAATTTTGAGAAGTCAAAATACAAAAGTGAACATCAGTGTTTCATCTTTTCAAGTAGTAAAAAAAATCCTAATTTGTCACCTTTCATGTAGGTCTTACATAAAAATGTATCAGTACTGTATTTTAGACCACCTTTGATATTATGACTGGCTCTTGACAACAACAACTGTACACACATTGAACATTTGAAGATCTTTTGTTGGCTTGCTGTAGTGAAGAAACAAACAAACCAGAAATATTTTGTTGATATAAATGCTGATTAAAAGCCATTTGTGAACATGTTGCCTGCTATGGTTCTTAGAGAATGATGCAAACCAGGCAAGGTTAGGGACTTTTGTTTTCATGAAATTAAGTTGAACAGCATAAAGGCACTATCTGCCATTTTAATAATCCTTAAGACCTAAAACTGTAGCAGTTTGTTTAAAACCATTAATGGGGTACTATATAGGAACAGAACTGCTTGGTTGGTAGCCAGGGAACAAAATTAACATTTTGTGCCAAATGCTTCTAAAAACCTTATTGAGCACATAAAGAATAAAAAGATATTAAAGTTGAATTTACCAATTTCTATGGAAAATTAGTTGTAGTCTTAGATAAAACAGTAGTACTTCATACTGTATAAAGGGGAATATGCTCTAAAAATAATTCAAGATATCTTATTTTCATACAATCTGTGACTTTATAACCTGAAACCATTGCAAATGCATTTTTAGCTGCAGCATAGTGGCTCATAAAATGGTTCTGAGTTGTTTTCAAGTACAAACTTTTAGCTCATTGTTCCATCATCTCTTGACTAATTTGAGATCTAATTATAGTTTTGGACTCAGGAGGACAAACCCTTTTAATTGATGTATTTGACCATGCCCAAGACCTCGTAGATTAATTTTGCCTAAAATAATTTCAATTTAAGTCGCTACATACATTTAATGATTGATAACTAAACCTTTGGAAAAACTTAATATTCTACTGGGTGTTTTATAGATGTTGCCTTTTATTTGTATCAAATTATAATATTTTAAACCTGTACTTTTTTGCGTATCATGCTGTTCATCTGTAATTTGTATGAAAACAAATGACAATGTTTCACGGAACTTCCGATCTATTTATAAAAGGTGACTAATAAACGTGGTTTTAATTAGTTTTCAGCCAAAGATGCATAAATGTTATCGGATGCTGTCACCATCTGATAGGTAAATTGGGATTTTTGGCTGGGAGCATATGCGAGTTAAATACGGTAGTCTGTGGGTTAAAAAATACTGTTTTGGAAAGCTTGATTTTTTGCACTGCTGCTGAAGGACATAGGAGTATAGTTAATAAATTTAAGTAGAAGTTTAAAGTATAAGTGAAAATTACAATTTAAATATCTGTAAGTATTGTTTTTGTATAATTCAATTTAATAAATTAACTATAGTGTAAAATATAATAAAAGCTATAACTTTGAAGGTGTTTATTTCAAAACAGGTTAAAGGTCATTTCAACGTGTGTGAGGAAACAAAAATATTGTTGATAATTCAAAATAATAAAAGATTGTAAGATGAGTCTTGTTCTCTATATTAGTTTTCCTACTGGAACTTTCCTGTATATTTAACATGCTATAATATACTTTTGTTTTCAGATGACAGATACGTGGGATGAACCTACTTCTGTTGCTGTAGTACATGAACAGCCAGAAATAAAGCTGTTTGGTAGATGGAGCTCTAGTGATGTACAAGTTAGTGACATCAGTTTGACTGTAAGTAAATAGATCTTCTGAATGTATTATTATTTTTGAAAGATAAATCACTTCCAGAAGAATTTTCAATAACCTTACATCTCAATTTGATCAAATTTCATTTAAAAAAAGCTTTAAAGTTAATACACTTAAGTTCTTCATACCACAATATTCAAATCTGTAATGAATCGTTGTGGACAATAGCATATACCACTGCTTAGTGTATATAGCAAACATTTCTAAGTTTGAGTTTTCATCCCAGGATGTAGCTTTCATATATGTGTGTCTTGAGGTTTGTTAAGCATAGACAATGTTTTTCTCATGCCATTTTTCTTTTCACATGTTGCCTATCCAACATGCAAAGTAATTTTCAAATTTCACATGCAAAATCTTTATAATGTCTTGACAGTTATCAATCATTTCTTTAAAAAAAAACTTACATATTTTATCTGTTATTTTCACTAATTAACCTCTGAACGGGTTCAGTCGATTTGACTAATCTTGTAACTATCATAAAAATTAGGAAATATATATATAAATTATTCCTCTTTTGTTCTAGAATGACTACAAATTATAACATGAAAATATAAATGTTTAGACTAAATAGCTTAAATCTCATAACATACATTTATATACACCTTTCAGCCATGCCTGGCTATCAGTACAGAAGTTACAATGACACGGCACATGTGCACTGATGTTACCATATTCAATAATATAAAACTGACCTTTAGTCTTTACTAAGTGACCATTTTTGGCTGTGTTTTAGTGGACTAAAAATGTGACTGATTTTACAAAATACTTTAGGGCAAAGGATGTACAGAGTAAAATTGAACTCCAAAAAGAACAAAAAAACTATACCATGTAAAAAAAAAAAAAGTCATAGAATCTATTGAAACAATTATTAAAATAATACCAAAATTCTTAACATAACAGACTACAGATGTAACTGTGATTACTCCATGAAAGAGGTTGCGTTTTGCATTACTCCCTACAGGATACATTTTTAAAACTTAAAAAATAACAGATGGAAAAAAAGAAAAACCTATCAGGTTTTGAAATCTATCATGTGATCAGACTTTAAACTACTTTAATTAAAAAAAATATGGATACACTGAACTAAAAACTAAGTTAAAGGTCAAATATTATGCCCATCAGTGACCTAATGGTAAGATTGAGGGCTTTAATTATAGTGCTAAAAGGTACAGCACAAATATCTCAAAGTGAAGATTTATATTAAAACCAAACAAACACTATTTTAGTTCGGTTTTGGTTGATAAGTTCCATTGCTTAAGAAACATCAAATATATGTATGTGTGTGCCCACGATTGTAAATATAACAGTATTACGACTATAGTTATTTTTATACTTATTTAGTATAAAATAATTAACCTTAATAGTATTAACCTTCAAGAATTATACACCAGATGATTACCTAAAACAGTCTTATTTATCAAACCCTTTTAACCCTATCACGACAGGTCACGTTTCAAAGGCCATGTCATCGCGTTTCTTAACTTGCATTCAAAATTTTATTGAACTACTATTTCATGAATTTATATCAATAAGTTTGGTATCAAATTGTAGATTATTACTCAAATTTTAGTATTATACATTAGTTAATTTCTTAATTTAAAAGTAAGTATTAAAAAAAAAACACAGCTAATCATAAATTTTTTGTGTGTCACGTGGTATGTTGAATGCAGCACTGGTTCAAATTAGATGTTTGTGATGTCAAAATACAAAATATACAGTTTCGTACAATTTATGAACTCAAACTACTAACATTAACAAGCTAGAATATAAAATAAGAACCTCATGTACTGAACCAAACAGTGGTCCCCCACCCATCTTTTACCATTTTTGGAAACGGTCCCTTATGTACAATTACTTCTATATACGACATGAATAACCAATTGAAAGCTCAGAATGTCCCCCCTAGTGGTTTTCTCAGCCATACGGACATGTTATTTTGTTAATTTTGTTCTTTTCACACAAGATTTCAAATGATAAGGTAAGTCTTTAGTGAACTCGAAATTTTATATTTTTTTAAACCCAAATACAGCTCAGTTACTATGCTTGATAAATTATAGTGGAATTCTATGGTATCGGTATAGTAATTTCTGATTTTTTGGTTATTTAAAATGTACATGTAGAGCATAAAAAAAAAAAAATTTCGTTTTTATATCCTTTACATGGGAATTTGATAAGGCTTAGCAACCTACGACAAGTGGCAAACGAGTAAAAAGGTCATAACTAGAAGAGATAACCGTTTGCTTTACTTCTTTATTCACTGTTCTATGTTTTCAGAAAAATAAGTTTAAGAACTGAATTGTAAATATATATGTATATACATTATCACAAATGTATAATATTTCTTCACACAAAATTTATTAAAGTTGAAGTTTTTGTAAAGGCCTAGAATCTAGTTGGTTTAAGAAGTGTGCCAAAACTTGTATTTATGAAATAACTCATGCAACTGACAAATTAAAAAAAATATGGAGATTTTACTCAGTTGTTCCATATTTGATTAAAATAATTTGGCCTACTAATTGTTATTTTATTTAATTTTTTATAATTTTTGAGTCACTTTAATTTAATGATGTTCATTAAAAGAACTATGAATAATTCAACTTATTTGTATTTTTTTATAACAAAATATTGGTTAAATTTTCTAACTTGCTTAGAATGAAAATAGGACATATTATCATATGATCCATCATAGTTCAGTTGTGATGATATCAAAATACTCTACATCAACATTAATGTTGTTAAG